GGTTGCCTAACTTTTTGTGACTTAACAGCTAAAAATATTTCGATTTAAACTTTTTTGTCCTCTTCAAATTTATATCTACAAAAAAGCAAAAATAAGTTGTATCAACACGATATGAATCTTCAAAAAATTTCGCTGAAAAACAATGACGAGTTCAGCTGTGCCGAAGTGTTTTTTAGCTGTTTCTTCATCTCCAATCGCTTAGCTTCATTTTTCTTCATATTTATTCCGAGTACATCTATCTTAATCCTTTCTAGGCTCGCAAATTCCAGTGGCATATTCTCAATGTAAATTTTTGTAAATTCGAAATTTCAGGCCGTTTTCAACTTTACAAGATTAAAGCTGCCATTATGGAAAATGGAACTCGTGGAGGCGTTGGTTATGAGTGGCCGTACCGCAAAGCCTTTTTTATTTTTAATATTCTTGCCGGTTTTCTCTTTGTTATTCTTCATACTCAAATGATTTTAGTAAGTTTTCAAGACAAATAGTGATGTTTTCAATGAGAGAGAACACTTTTTCAGGTAATAATGCGTTCAAATTCCCTTCGAAAATTGGCCGGGTATCATTTTATGGTGCACAGTTCAGTTGTTGACCTTATAAATAGTATCACTCAAATAGTAGCACAATTATGTACATTGGAAAGTTATGAGATGAATCCTATACTTAACGAGGTAAATTTTCATTTTCTTGTCACCCGATAAAGCAGAAGAAATCTTCTATTTTAGGTAAATGGTGCTATCTTTCAAGGTACATGGGCTGCAGATTACCCTATGATCCTTATCGTCGCTGTTAACCGATTGGTAGCAGTAGTTCTGCCTTTCAAAGTTTCAACATTTTTTGGAGAAAAGTGGACAAAGGTAATTTTCTGAGCATCAGTTCTATAGTTTGTTTCACGCGCAGACAATACACGCGCCGCGTACACTGCTGCGACGCGGCTGGCGCCTTTGGGTTGCACTTTCCGTGCAATGAATTGTGCGTTAACTAACGAATTTCAGTTTTACATCTCCATTTGCATCGTATTTGGAGTTCTGAACACAGCTGCTTGTTTATCTGGAGATATGGCCTGCATATGGACGGCTAGCATCCCTTCATTTCAATTTATTGCCAAAATTAGTAAGTTTTACAATTACTATGAGCAATAGATCAGGCTGATGCTTGACCTTTCAGAAAATTCCGCATTGTCTATAATCGTCAATTTTGTGGATTTTTGGTTTGCAGAGTTTGTCATTTTATGCAGCACCGCGTGTTACGTTATCATCTTCGTTTATCTGCTGCGAAAGGTAATTTTTAAATTTTATTTTTTGCTAAACCAATATTCTTTTTGTCACCTTTTTGTCACTTAGTCCATCA